AAGTGTTTAAATCTAACAACCAACAAAACTGGCAAAAAAGTATTTGCTGTCAGTTTTTTAACTATTTTTGACGTTTTATTTTAACCTAACATTATAAGCAAAGTTTAAAAGTATGGTTATTTCAGAATAAAGTCAAAGAATTTTTATGACTAAATTACACTAAAAACAGATGCTTCTACCTAATGTTTCTCATTTCATAAATAAATCCTTTAGTGCTGCAGGAGCTCAGCAGTTTGTGCCGCTGTCAGCAGGTTCAAGCTCAGGTTCTGTCAGGAAGGGCATCTGATGTGAATCAGTTAAACAAATCTTTTGTGAGAGCTCGCTCGCTGTTGTGACGCCGGAAGAAGGGAGAGGCTGAAAAAAAACAACAACATAAACTATTCTTTTAGTAAATAAAAGTTATTATTTGGTTCTCAACCAGAAGTATTTTTGGAATATATTACAACCAAGACATAATTATTCTAATAATTGAAACTTTGCATTTATATTGAACACTAGACATTCAGTGTGCTGACTCCCACATTCATCTAGGTCTTAATATGAAGACGAGTTCCTCCATTCCACCCATGGCACCAGTTTGGAGCGTTAACACACAAATTAACAACTCCCTGTTTTCACTGCAGTGTCTCAAGAATAATAAAGAACACAATTATTTATTTGAAGATCTCAAATTTTCTAGGCTTTAAGTGTTAGGTCGTTTTCACACCAGATAGTCCGGTAGACTCGGTTCAGTTCGGGACCAATATTCATGACCTTTTGTTTACATTTGAGCTGGTGCGTTTGCATTCACACTGCACTGTGCAGTCGAGCCAGCCTGTTTACCCACTCGCCTGTGGGGGCGCTGCACCAAGAACTAGTGAAAGAAATGACACAAAAACCTCTGAAGACACTTCTTCTTCTGGAAATAAAAACAAGAACGGAGTGGCATCTAGTTTTAGCAGTTTTAGAAGTTATATTTTGTCATTTTTCAACAATGGACTCAGCAGAAGATGAGGCAGAAGACCATGTTGAATGTTATCCTGATACATGCTCAATAATTCAGGTAGAAAAATCAAAAAAAGTTCAATCTGGTCCTCTGGACATTCAAAAAACAAAAAAGACAAAAAACAAAACAAAGCAAAAAAAATGTAGAAATGTTTCGTCTCTCATCCGAAAGACTTCCTCAGTCTGAGGTGCTGTGATGTAAAAAATGGCAGTTTGGCTTTCTTGGACTGTGAGGTCTCAGTCTCTGATAGAGGACATTTGCAAACTGAGGTGTACCGCAAACCCACCCACACAGACCAGTATTTGCAGTTTGACTCCCATCACCCTTTGGAGCACAAGTTACGAGTCATCAGGACTCTGTATCACAGAGCAGACAGCATCCCCACTAACTCAGGAGCCAGGCAGAAGGAGAAATTCTACACAAGACAGGCTCTAGAGCAATGTGGATATCCTAACTGGGCCTTCCTGAAAGCAGAGAAGAAACCCAAACAGGATTCCAGTCAGCCATCAGGTGAAAAGGAGGAACCCAGACCCAGACCAGTGGTCATTTCGTATGTTGAGGGAGTATCAGAGAAACTGAGACGTTTATTTTCTAAACATAACATCCCAGTGGCTTTTAAACCCCAAAATACATTACGGCAAAAACTGGTTCATCCCAAAGATCCAGTCCCCCGGCACAAACAGATTAATGTTGTGTATGCTGTTCAGTGTCAGGAGGGCTGTGATCAGTCTTACATCGGGGAAACTAAACAGCCACTGGCCAAAAGGATGGCCCAGCACAGAAGATCAACATCATCAGGCCAGGATTCTGCGGTCTACACTCATCTCCAGGACAGTGGTCACTCTTTCAGGGATGAAGATGTTCACATCCTGGACAGAGAGGAACGATGGTTTGAGAGAGGAGTAAAGGAGGCCATCTTTGTAAAAAGAAATCGTCCATCATTAAACAGGGGTGGAGGCCTCCGGGTTCAACTGTCCCCCTCTTACAATGCTGTGATTGCTAGTATCACTCAGCCCTCTGTGAATAGTAAACAGCCATCAGTGTGCTAATGATCCATTGTTAGGCTGATGGTCCTTCTTGACCATGTGAGCAGCTGGTTTTGATTGTCAGCAGCAAACTGGTTGATCCACTCTGAGAAGGTGCTATTTAAGAGACTGAGCTGAAAACAGCACCTCAGACTGAGGAAGTCTCTCGGATGAGAGACGAAACGTTTCTACATTTTTTTGTTGTTTTGCTTTGTTTTGTTTTTTTGGAATGTCCAGAGGACCAGATTGAACTTTTTTGGAAATATACATGGCATTTATTCAATTCAATTCAGTTTATTTATATAGCGCCAAATCACAACAAAGTTGTCTGGGGGAACTTTACAGAAACATTCACATACCTAAAAGGCAATTAGTAAAGTTCTCTATCTAAGGAGGCCAGCAGACAAGTTGAATCTTATGATGTTATATTTCCCTATACCTTCCTAACTAAGGTTCTTGTTTGTCCCTCAACTTGGGGGGGGGGGGGGGGGGGGAGAGACAGGTTGGCTCGATTGACTCGGTGCACTGCGAATCAGAACTGCACCAGCTGAAAATGTAAACAAATGTTCCGAATTTTGGTCCCCAATCGAACCGAGTCTACCAGACTATCAGGTGTTAAAACAATCTAAGACAGGATGCTCTGATAAGACAGTCAAGCCCAGCTTTTTTCTCTTGTACTCATCACTGATGGTATGGGGTTGCATGAGCTCTTGTGGCATGGGCAGCTTGCATGTCTGGAAAGGCACCATTAATACAGAGAACTATGTTCAGGTTCTAGAACAACATATGCTCCCATCTAGACGTCATCTCTTTCAGGGAAGACCCTGCATTTTTCAACACGATAATGCCAGACCACATTCTGCAGCAATCACAACATCATGGCTACGTAGGATAAGGATCCGGGTACTGAAATGGCCAGCCTGCAGTCCAGATCTTTCACGTATAGAGAACATTTGGCACATCATAAAGAGGAAGGTGTGACAAAGAAGGCCCAAGACGATTGAACAGTTAGAGGCCTGTATTAGACATGAATGGGAGAGCATTCCTATTTCTAAACTTGAGAAACTGGTCCCCTCTGTCCCCAGACGTCTGTTGAGTGATGTAAGAAGAAGGGGGGATGTCACATAGTGGTAAAAATGGACTTGTCCCAACTTTTTGTGGATTTGTTGACGCCATGAAATTTGGAAACAACAAATTTTTCCCTTAAAATTATACATTCTCTCAGTTTAAACTTTAGATCTGTGATTTGTGTTCTATTCTGAATAAAATATTAGATGTTGGCACCTCCACATCATTACATTCAGTTTTTATTCACAATTTGTTTAGTGTCCCAACTTTTTTGGAATCCGGTTTGTACGTTTCCCCCCGTTGTGTCCGTGTAAATAGGGACCTATTTACACGGACACAATGGGGGGAAAACGTAGTTTTTTTTGTATGTTAATTAGAGGAAAAGATCCGCGTTGACACTGTCTTATTTTGGGTTTACATGCATCCGCAGGAATCTCTCCCCCCCCCCCCCCGCTCTCCCGAATCCGCTGTAGTTACCATCATTAGATGGCGCTGTGAATTTTGTGCCTTCACCTAATGCGCATGCATGCTGCCTCGGCACGCTCCTTTCCTTTGAGCTAAAAAGCTCTTCTAACAACATCTTTAAAGCTGGGTTTTGGCTGGATTTTGGATAAGAGTTGACAGATTTGACGCCAAGCGGGACCGCTTCATCTAACAGCTCCACACCGGTCACTGAGTGGACCAGAACCGAGTCGATGATGTTGGACTTTACTTTGTGATAATCAGTAGCTGATTTACAGCAGGTAAATCAACGTTCTTAATAATGTTAGCTTGTGTTTACTTTGATCACACAACAACCAACTGAGTTTTTATTTTTCCTGAAAGAAGAAGATGCTGTCTCCCACCAGGCGGACTGGTTTTGAACGAGGCTCGGCTCAGGTGCAGAGCAGGAGGACGTTGAAGAGAGAGCGATGTTGGATGAACTATTTATTTTAAATTCCCCTCAGTTGTTTTATTCAATCCATTCAATGTTTTAAGCTGCATTAATCAAAGTAGTGATAGCCTGAACGAGCCAGATGGACAACGTGGGACTTCCATACCGGATGAAAACAGGAGTCCAGTTCATTAACGTAGTTTACAGTTAACGTGTTTTTAATAGTGTGTTCAGTTTAATTATCAGTATTTGTGTGACATACAGTTTGTGGTGTTGAATAAATAAATAAAAATTAAACCTGATGTCTTCATTTTCAACTTTAGTGTTCACGCTATATGTTTAGCATCATTTTAAATTTGAATTACATAATGTCCAGATAGCTTCATTTAGCTCAGAGCTTCATTATGTCTCTCACACTAACATAAATACTGTTTATTATTATTAAACTTATTATTTAGCACATTTAGTATGTTATAGTGCAGCGCAATGTGTGCGTGTGCCACGTTCTATAAACAGTGACATTAGAACTAGATAAGATTGTGTCTCTTCGAGCACAGATGTCGGTCACAGCACCTGGAATCTGACGTAGATTAACTACGAGATTAAAATATATTCCATCAGTCATAGTTCAGAAAGCAGTGTATCTGCCACCATGTTGATAGAAATATAGCGTCTGTCCGCGTGTGCACATGTGGTTTAACACAAAGCCTCAGCGGGAGATGTTTACATTTTCAGCGGGGGGTCAGCGAAAAACCTCTGGAAGATAGATTCAGAAACCTCCGGATTCAAAGGGGGGGGGGGGGCACTGGTGTCGTGTAAATGATCAGCAGAACCACAGAGAGAAAGCTGCGGATGCACTCAAATATGCGCCTTGTAAACTGCCCCTAACATCTAAACCAGGGGTGGGCAACTTTTTTTTTTTTTCCAGAGGGCCAAACATATTTAAAGCAAGTTAAGAGCCGCGTAGAGAGTTGGTAAATAAATTTTCTTTAGGATAGATAAACTGGAGGACGTCTTCAGGCTTTTTCTTGTTGGTGTCTCTTCACAGTTTCGAGTGGTCACTGCTCCTTTCCATCATGTTGGCTTTGCTGACTTCTGGCTGGCTGACCAGCTGAACTCCCTGGTGGTGGTTCTGATGGACCTGGAGTATATGATCTGTTTCTACAGTTCTGAGCTGACCTGGACAGGATACGAAGGACTCCTAATTAACACCGGTGAGATCTTAGACTTTAGCACTGATAATGTGGTTCAGAGCAGTGAGGACTAATGCATTGTTGTTCAATTTTCAGAACAAAGCATGTGTAACACCTACTCCTACGGCATCCGTGCTGTCATCAAGTGTCTTCCAGCATGGTTTAGATTTGCCCAATGTCTGCGACGTTACCGGGACACCAAACGGGCTTTTCCTCATCTGGTTAATGCTGGGAAGTACTCTACATCCTTCTTTGTTGTCACCTTCTCTGCCCTCTACAGCACGCACAAAGGTAAACTGGAGTTTAGGTTCTACTTTTACTAAAATCTTAATTTTTATGGACCAAAGATGGCTTGGAATATAGAAGCACACTCCAGGGTTTTCATTTTTCACACATAATCCCAAGAATGTTGATAATATTAATACTAATAATGGTATTAATAAAAAATCTGTAATACTTAAAGATTTTTGTCCCCCGAGTGAAGAGGGGGAATTAGAAAAACATTCTGTCCATCTGTCCGCCCGTCCATCAGTCTATTGTGAACATAACTTGTAAAATAAGTGAGGTACTGACTTACATTTTGGTGCGTTGCTGCATCTAGGCATAAGAAAAGTTCCTTTTGAAAATTGGACGCCCATGTCAAAATCCAAAATGCCCATTTTATATTCAATAGTCCCTCGCTACTATGCGGTAGTGATAGTAGCAAGTAGCGATTGGATGTGCAAAGGTGGCAGAAACAAATCATAGAAGACTTGCAGCTGAAACTAAAGCAGTGGTGTTTCTAAAAAGTACTAACTTGGGGGGGTTAATGCATGTTGCATTTTTCAGATTTTGATATGTAAAGAAAAATGTTGAATACTATGGATCATTGTCTTTCCACTTAACTGGTATGTGTAACTTTGTGTAGGTCTTTCACATAAAATCCAGTAAAGTAGTTTACAGTTTGTGGTTGTAATGTGACAAGAACGCTGAAAAATTCGAGGTTTGAAGACTTTTTCAATATACTGCATTTGTAGACTTGCTTGAATTGTATCTCAAGCCTTGAGAGTGTGGCTTCAATCCAGCCAGGACAAAAGACTAAAAAGTCTCAATCCAGTCTGTAAAAAGACGATCAGAAACTCAGACCTTTGACTGTCAGAGAGTATTTCATACTGACTCGAGGTTTCTGTCAGGTGCCCGCTCTGAAGCTCAGATCTACTTCTATCTGTACATTGCCTGTTTGGTGATCAGCTCTTGTTATACACTGATCTGGGATCTGAAGATGGACTGGGGCCTGTTTGATCGCAACGCAGGAGAAAATACCTTCCTGAGAGAGGAGATTGTCTACCCACACAAGGTATTTGGTAACACAGACAGATGGTTTGAATTCCAGAGAACTTACTTTAACCCTGCTGTGTTCTGCACTTTCTCCCTCCAGGCTTACTACTACTGTGCCATTGTGGAGGATGTTCTCCTGCGTTTTGTCTGGATTTTAACAATCACCCTCACCTCGCTCACTAGTTTTTCAGACATCGCAGACGTTTTGGCTACAGTATTGGCTCCACTAGAAGTCTTTAGGTAAAAGTCAAAGTTTTTGCTGAGTTGTGTTTCTTTTGGCTTTTCTTCAGAACCAGTTTTTCTGTCCCACGCTGCAGAGCGAAAAGGTGGAGTTGGAAATGCCCTCTATCCATCTACTCACATTGAGCAAGATAATTTGAAAAATAAGAGATACCAACTTCCATTTTGGTGTGTGTTTGCATCTATGTGTATACAGATATATACCAGTATATGTACAGTATATCCAGGGCTTAATTTGTAAACCGGTTGATGCCAGAATACAAATAGTGTGTGTGTGTGGGGGGGAAGAAAATCCCAGAAAATTTTGAATAGAGTAGATGCCCATCCATCCATCCATCCATTTTCTTTACCCGTTTATTCCATTTTGGGTCACGGGGGTCGCTGGTGCCCATGTCCAGCAATCACTGTGCGAGGGGCGGGGTACACCCTGGACGGGTCGCAAGTCCATCACAGGGACACATAGAGACAAACGAGACAAACAAACATTCACTCTCTCATTCACACCTAGGGACAATTTAAAGTTACCAATCAGCCTAACATGCATGTTTTTGGTCGGTGGGAGGAAACCGGAGTACCCGGAGAAAACCCACGCATGCACGGAGAGAACATGCAAACTCCACCCAGAAAGGCCCCTGGACCGGGGTTTGAACCAGGGACCTGCTCGCTGAGAGGCAGCAGCTCTACCAGTTGCGCCACCGTGCTGCCTAGAGTAGATGCCATTTCCTGCATTTTGGTGTATTTTAACAGCCTTTTAAACATCTACGTTTACCTACATTTGTAAACACTTGACTAAATTACTATTTTAGAGAGCTTGTCCAAGAAAAAATAGAGCAGCTCTGATTCTGTCAAGTGTCCTAACCCCACCTCCCCTCACTTCATGGTTCAAGCCGAACTCTTCTTCGCTATATTCAGTCCTGCGTGTTGTTGCTCCTGCTGCTCCAGTCTCGATTACCACTGCCTTCAGTTGCTTCATTTCTCAGTTGTCCAACTAAGGGCAATCCATCCATTCATTTATTTTATGAAAGTAAATTATCTTTTCGACATTTTGATCGCTGTTATTTTGACAAATTAGTGCCATTGTTTTGATATATGATTAATGTGAATAATACACATCAACTATTTCTCTCATTGTATTATTATTATTTTTTTACTGTAAGCTTTTTTATTTATTATGTCTGAAATGTATGTGGGAGTTCCGACACATCAGCAGTTGTACACGCTGTAGAGCTGTCTGGAGACGCTCCTGTACGTAATGTGCACTGTCCACAGGCATGTCCCACAGAGATGAAGACACTTCATCCCAGCAGGACATGCCGTCCATGTCTTTGCTGGGTAGGAGCGTGTGCGCGAGCTGGTGCGCGAGCTGGTGCGCGAGCTGGTGCGCGAGCTGGTGCGCGAGCTGCGGCCAGACCATCCACTCGACAGACTGGGTCCACTGGGCCAAAGGCAACGTCTCCTGTCATTGTATTTTTAATAAATAAAGAAATTTTTTATTAATAAGCCACTTAAACTGTCAAACTGATTTGCAATTAGTTGTGCTGTTTAATTATATTTTTGAGTTTTTTAATAAAAATGCACGATGACTTGGGACTTTTACGGGTGGAGATTTGAGTTGCCGGATCCAAGCAAACAGTTTCCAGAACACACCCTGTCAAAATAAGTGAGTTCTTGGATCTTGCAGGATCCAGCTCAAAGATCTGTGTATATCCAACATTTTGGATATTGGATATACCATACCATACCAATTTATTTATATAGCACTTAAAACAGCAACAAGGCCAACCAAAGTGCTGTACAAAAGAACACAAACATGCACAGCAGACAGGAAAACATAAAATAGAAATACAGATACAAATAGCAGCAGCACGGTGGCGCAATTGGTAGAGCTGCTGCCTCTCAGCGAGCAGGTCCCTGGTTCAAACCCCGGTCCAGGGGCCTTTCTGGGTGGAGTTTGCATGTTCTCTCCGTGCATGCGTGGGTTTTCTCCGGGTACTCCGGTTTCCTCCCACAGTCCAAAAACATGCATGTTAGGCTGATTGGTAACTCTAAATTGTCCCTAGGTGTGAGTGAGAGAGTGAATGTTTGTTTGTCTCGTTTGTCTCTATGTGGCCCTGTGATGGACTTGCGACCCGTCCAGGGTGTACCCCGCCCCTCGCACAGTGATTGCTGGACATGGGCACCAGCGACCCCCGTGACCCAAAATGGAATAAGCGGGCAAAGAAAATGGATGGATGGATGGATGGATGGATACAAATAGCAATATGATATGGACATTTTGGCTATCGTCAATACCGATATTTGGAGGGGAAGGTGAATGCCGACAACCCATATATTGACTGAAATTATTTTAGCATTGTCAACCCCAAAAATCTAAGTAAACAGCGAGTGGAGCAGGACTTGTCTATTTAGCGCAGCTGTTAGCAATTATGAAGCTAAGCTAATCAGATCCATGCTATACGTAGTCCCACAGTAGGTTTACAAGTGGTGCTCTGGTCATAAAAACAGTCTTCCTAACGTGCATTCACATTTGCGACCCTCCACTATTCACCATAAAGTTATCAAATGTGTTACATAAATATAAATTAAACAGAATCGCCCTTTCTTGTTTATTGTTTAAACAGTCATTCACATATGGTGAAGGTCTAATTAGTATTGCCTGCAGAAGAGTTTATTTTTCTTTGCAGAGAAGTAAATATTTCAGACAAACAATGCATTTCATTGAGGATGGCAAAGATAACATTACTAACAATGGATGTCCTCACAAACTGGAAGCTCAATCCAACAGGACTGGTAGCTATAACTACTGACAATGAGGCTAATGTCGTGAAAGTGGTGCAATTGAACACTAGCGTTAGCTCGCTAACTTGAGAGGCGCATTGCTAATGACAAGAGGGTTGGAGGATTGAAGAGAACTTAATTATTGTTGATTTATTTTACAGATTAGTTAAAATAAACTTACCATGCTTTATTTAGCAAAATATGCTACACAGTTGCTCTCTGCTTCAACTGTGTGAGTCAAGTGAACGACCATGACTTGAAAGTAGTCTTCATGCGGCCTCTGCTGGATTCTTCATACAACTATGGTTAATTCCAGCATTTTAGGGGTGAAAATTAGAAGTGTTTATATCGACGAATAATGGGACAATTATCACTGATACTGATGGGTCCCCAAAATATCTATATTGGCCCTACTGATGTATCGGTCAGGCTCTAATGTAAAAGTTCCTCATGACATTTGGGTTGCCATGTCAAAAATTCAAAATGGCTTGTCACCATATATGCATATACAATATATGTAAACATGGTTAGCTAGATAACGTGAAAAATGAGCAATGTTCTGACTTTCAGTTCTAGTTGTAAAAAGGTCAAAATCAAAAACTGATTTGCCACAACAAAATCCTTTAAAGCCACCAACATACAACGGCCACTCTGATCATTTGAAGAAACTATGCTTTCTAGTTTTTATATTACTTTATAGTATAGTTTCGTCAAATGATTGGGGTGGCCAAAGATTAATTTTTGTCAGGTTTTTTCGTGGCAGATCATGACAGAAGAACCCAGTTGCGCAGGCAGGACTCAGGAGGCAGATGAATAAAATAAAATACTTTAATAATAATAATAATAAATCAAAAAGGCTGACATGGCAGCAAAACTTACATGGGCTCAGGAAACACGATCACTCAGGCAGGACAAGACAGGCATTACCCAACGACGAACCGACAATGACAGAACTGACAGACAGACTTTATATACACACAAACAGGACATGACACAGGTGACGATAATCAGACAATCAATTCAGACACAAGGGAGAACAGACAGGGGGAAGGCCCACTGGATGGTGCCATCCTTACAATTTTTAGTGGCCAAAGCCACCATTAGCCACCCACTGGCTCTGCCATTGTACTAGGTGTTGGATAAAATTTCTCGGTCCACTCATCGTATCTGGATAAGATAGAAAGGCGCTATACAAGTACAGTCCATTTACCATTTACTGGGATCCGTCACTCTGTGCTGTCTGGGACAGGCAATAAAGAAAAAAAAACCTCCTTCTGTTCTTCTTACCCACAGTGTAAATCCGACTCACTTGAATATCTTGCAGTGCAAATCACCCACTTCCAGAGTTTCAGGCTAAGATCATCCTAGTGATGGAAAAATTATAAAGCTGTAGCCGTTTTAGTTCAACCTTTAAAATAACATTGTGCATAATCTGTTAATACTCAGATTATTTTTTGTTAAAGTCAATTAGCTGTGGCAGCAATCTTCAATCAGCATGGTTCCAAATGTTAATTAGTTATAGACATACATCCAGTGATTATTTTATGAAAATGTTATTATAATCTGTCCAGTGATTCAAGAGATATTTTGTTAACAGACACAGGCAAAAACAATTCTACCTTTTGGCAGCAAAGGGAAATAATCTGATCCCATATTTCTAAAATGCAAGTGTGTATCTAGTAAAAATATTTAAAATATGGATATAAGAGTAAAACTGAATGCTTCAGATCTGGGCTTGTTGTGGCCATTAACAGTGGTTTGTCTTTTTCCAGGCGTTTTGTGTGGAACTTTTTTCGTCTGGAGAATGAGCATCTGAATAACTGTGGTGAGTTCAGGGCTGTCAGAGACATCAGTGTGGCGCCGCTCAATGCTGATGACCAGACGCTGCTGGAACAAATGATGGACCAGGAAGATGGAGTGAGGAACCGGCAGGGCAAGAAAACCTGGAAGAGGAGCTACAGTATGAGTCTGCGCCGACCACGACTGGCCTCACAGTCAGTATTCATCTTAGATAGAACATGCTAGTTGTTTAATTTTTTTGTCATATCACAACCATCATATCTGGGATGTTATTTAATGAGAGTCTGCATAAATATGAAACTTCCGTTTTTAAGAAACACTGAGATATGCCGGTGTAGATTCTCAGTAATCTAAGACATGGCAAATCCCCAAAATAAACTTGTTTATAAACAAAACAGCTGGAATTCTGTTCTGTAGATGGACATTTCACTTCCCAGCCAGGGAGCATTCTCAATTTATAACTGAAGAATGTGAAGTTCCAAGCTTTAAACTGCTAGAGATACTAAGTTTATGTAGTTAAACTCATGATTAATCTCTTACCCAAACTGTGGTCCTATGTCTTGGCCACTTCAGTGAGCAGGGTGGAGCTGTCAAATGAACACCACCTGGTGGTGAGTTGGATTCAGAGGCAGGGGAGGCTGCTGGAAAGACCTGGTCAACCCAAACAATTTGTGAGCGTGATCTGGGAACATCTGGTGGAGTCCCCTGTTTGTGAGACCCATACCTTCAGGAAAGTTATCACATATTTCTGGTTAGGTTGGGAACATAGAGTCCAAATGGGCACATACAGCTTCCAGGATCTGTGGCTTGAAGGTTACTGGTGCCTGTGGCGCCATCAATCATAGAACCTGCTGGTGGACACCAGCTGTGATATTTAGCACAAAGCTGAAGAAGAAGCCTTAGGGGTAGGCTGGCCCTAAGGACTCCTGAAGCTGCTGATGTGTACAGGGTAGCCAGAAGGACTGTAGCTTCTGTGTTTGCAGATGCAAAATCTCTGGCATGGAGGGAATTTGGAGAGGCCATGAAGAACTTTTGGTTCTGGCAAAGCATTTGTTTCAGAAAGGGAAAACAGGCCTAATTTCTGGCTGTTCTTGTTTTGTGTGAGGAATTGCTAACCTATAGTTAGGGTCGGCTTGGGTTTCCTGAGCTGTCCCTTAGTTATGCTGCTATAGGCTTAAACTGCTGGAGGACAAACTGACCACACTTTTCACTCTGCTACTGTCTTTGCTTACTCTGCTCAACCTGTTTTGTATTTGTAATTATTTTTTTCTATCCTTAACATGTGGTTGTTTTTGTTTTTCAGGTACACCTGGACCTACCATTCTATGTTTGTCTGTCTCTTTTTCCTGTCCTCTCAAACCAGCCGGTCAAAGCAGATGGCCGCTTGTCCTGAGCCTGGTTCTGCTGGAGGTTTCTTCCTTTTAAAAGGGAGTTTTTCCTTTCCACTGTTGCCACTTTGCTTGCTCAGGATGGGAGACTGCAACGAAGCCAAGATTCAACTTGTCTGCTGGATTCCTTAGATAGAGAACTTTACTAATTGGCTTTTATGTATGTGAACGTTCCTGTAAAGTGCCCTGAGACAACTTTGTTGTGATTTGGTGCTATATAAATAAACTAAATTGAAATTGAATTGAAATTTCATCTTAGCAGGTGTTTGTTAGAAAATGCAATACAGTAGTCCCTCGATCATCGCATGGGTTACATTCCACACACACCCACAATAAGTGAAAAATCGCAAAGTAGAAACACTACATTTATTTTAGTACAAACCAGATTCCAAAAAAGTTAGGACACTAAACAAATTGTGAATAAAAACTGAATGCAATGATGTGGAGGTGCCAACATCTAATATTTTATTCAGAATAGAACACAAATCACAGATCAAAAGTTTAAACTGAGAGAATGTATCATTTTAAGGGAAAAATTTGTTGTTTCCAAATTTCATGGCGTCAACAAATCCACAAAAAGTTGGGACAAGTCCATTTTTACCACTATGTGACATCCCCCCTTCTTACATCACTCAACAGACGTCTGGGGACAGAGGGGACCAGTTTCTCAAGTTTAGAAATAGGAATGCTCTCCATTCATGTCTAATACAGGCCTCTAACTGTTCAATCGTCTTGGGCCTTCTTTGTCACACCTTCCTCTTTTTGATGCATCAAATGTTCTCTATTGGTGAAAGATCTGGACTGCAGGCTGGCCATTTCAGTACCCGGATCCTTCTCCTACGTAGCCATGATGTTGTGATTGCTGCAGAATGTGGTCTGGCATTATCGTGTTGAAAAACGCAGGGTCTTCCCTGAAAGAGATGACGTCTAGATGGGAGCATATGTTGTTCTAGAACCTGAACATAGTTCTCTGCATTAATGGTGCCTTTCCAGACATGCAAGCTGCCCATGCCACAAGCGCCCATGCAACCCCATACCATCAGTGATGCAGGCTTCTGAACCGAACGTTGATAACAACTTGGGCTATCCTTGTCTTGTATCTGGTCCGGATGACATGGCGTCCCAGTGTTCCATAAAGAACTTCAAATCGTGACTCATCTAACCACAGAACAGTCTTCCATTTTGCCTCACTCCATTTTAAATGACCACTGGCCCAGTGCAAACGTCTGAGCTTGTGGAGCTTGTTTAGAAATGGCTTCCTCTTTGCACTGTAGAGTTTCAGCTGGCAACGGCGAATGGCACGGTGGACTGTGTTCACTGACAATGCTTTCTGGAAGTATTCCTGAGCCCATTCTGTTATTTCCTTGACAGTGGCATTCCTGTTTGAGGTGCAGTGACGTTTAAAGGCCCGGAGATCGCGAGCATCCAGTAGAGTTTTACGGCCTTGACCGTTACGCACAGCGATTGTTCCAGATTCTCCAAATCTTTTGATGATGTCATGCATGGTTGATGATGATAACTTAAAAGTCTTTGCTATTTTACTCTGAGTAACACCATTCTGGTATTGCTGCAATATCTTTCTGCACAACAATGGTGGAATTGGTGATCCTCTTACCATCTTGGCTTCTGAGAGACACTGACACTCTGAGAAGCTCTTTTTATACCCAATCATGTTGTCAATTGACCTAATTAGTGTTCATTGGTCTTCCAGCTGTTCGTTATATGCTCAATTTCTATTTTCCAGCCACTTATTTGCTACTTGTCCCAACTTTTTGGGGATTTGTTGACACTGTGAAATTTTGAATCAACATATTTTTCCTTTAAAATGTTACATTTACTCAGATTAAACTTTTGATCTGTCATCTATGTTATATTACAAATAAAATATTGACATTTGCCATCTCCACATCATTGCATTCAATTTTTATTCACAATTTGTTTAGTGTCCCAACCTTTTTGGAATCCGGTTTGTACTTATGTATATATGAAGGCTTTATAAACCCTTCCCACACTCTTGCAATGTTCTAAACTCTTAAATCTACAGTACATAATTTTATCAACATACATATATGTACTGCACATTAGCTACTGCAAAATTTTATATGGGGACTCATCAGCCTTGGCCCATGGTCCCATGGCCGGGTTCTGATCGGCTCTCTGCAGTCTTTGAGCACCAGATGCTTTCAGCAAGAGCCAGACCTTTGGAAAGCTGGCCCAAAACCGCACAATGGTCCAGATCAAGTCCAAATAATCCAGAAATCCGATTAAAAAAAATTCCGGGTGAGCTCCAGAGAAGACACCAGACAGCCAATCAACGCCTCCCCGCTCAAGAGGCTTCATGGGCCGGCAAGCAACACTCAGATTGACCGAAGAGGCTGGAAGTAGTTCTCGTCTGGTTCTGGTCCAGTTCTGAACGGCTCTCTGTATCCACTGAGCGCCAAAGTCACTATGAATAAGGACCAAACATTTTAGTCAGGTTCAGATCGGATCAAAACTTTCCCTCCATTTTGGCAGAAAGCAGCGAGCCAGAAGCAATTTCAATTCACTTTCAATTCAGTTTATTTATATAGCGCCAAATCACAACAACGTTGTCTCAGGACATTTTACAGGAACATTCACATACATAGAAAAGCCAATTAGTAAAATTCTCTTTGTAAGGAATCCAGCAGAGTTGAATCTTGGCTTTGTTGCAGTCTCCCATCCTGAGCAAGCACAGTGGCAACAGTGGAAAGGAAAAACTCCCTTTTAAAAGGAAGAAACCTCCAGCAGAACCAGGCTCAGAACAAGCGGTCATCTGCTTTGACCGGCTGGTTTGAGAGGACAAGAAGGAGAAACAAACACAGAATGGTAGGTCCAGGTATAGGTCCAGGTGTACCTGAAAGACAAAAAATGCATGTTAAGGATAGAAAAAATAATTACAAATACAAAACAGGTTGAGCAGAGTAAGTAAAGACAGTAGCAGAGTGAAAAAGTGTGGTCAGTTTGTCCTCCAGCAGTCTAACTAAGAGACAGCTCATGAAACCCAAACAAAGAAACTGTCCAGATGACCTGACTGAACATTGTTGCATCCTTCCTACTATCGCTTCCTGTTCCCTGTTAGATGAGGCAACTTTAAAAATGTCACTAGATCCTGATTTGTGTTTGGACAGTTTTTGTCCTGTTAAGCTCTCTGAATTGTTAAAAATAATAACTTCCTCCTAATCATCCACATGTCTACTAGATCCCATCCCAACCAGACTATTTAAAGAGGTATTTCCCTTAATTAATATCCACATTTTGGATATGCTTAATTTATCTCTAATGAATGGTTACGTACCACAGCGTTTTAAGATTGCTGTAATTAAACATTTACTTAAGAAGCATAATTTTGACTCAGGAGTCCTGGCCAACTATAGACCTATATCTAACCTAACTTTCATCTCAAAAATTCTAGAGAAAAAAAATCGATCATCCAGGTAGATAACAACAAAAAAAGTTAAAAGGTTAAATTGTGTCATCTGGACAAGTTTCTTTAAGTGAGAAACATTTCATCCCCCATCCAGAGGAGTTCCTCAGTCTACGGCCTGCCAACCAGGTCTGATGACTTCTGTTGTGCCTTGATGCTATATAAATAAACTGAATTTAAACAGAATGTGGTGGTTCCCGTTTTATAAAAGGTGACTGGAGAGTGCATTTTAATCATCAAGAATTGTCACTTCTCAGCCTCCCCAGGAAAGTTTACTACAAGGTGTTGGAAGAGAAGCTCCAATTGATTGTCAGATCTCTAATTCAGGAGGAACTGTGTGGCTCTCATCCTGGTTGTGGAACAGTGGACTGGATCTTAACCCTGGCAGATGCTAAGGGTTTTATGGGAGTTTGACACGTTAGTCTAGTTTTGCAGACCTGGAGAAGGGTTATAACTATTGCCTGAGACATTCTCTGAAGGCTCCTGTGGGAGTATGGTGTGCCTGGGTTCCTTTTAAGATCTATTTGGTCCCATTATAATCAGAGCAGGCTGTGTCTGCACAGAGTTGAGATAATTTGGGATGCAAGTTGGACTCTGCCAGGGCTGTCCCTTGTTTCTGATCCTGTTTGTGGTATTCATGGACAAGATTTCAAACTGCAGTCATGTTAGAGAAGAATATCTGGTTTGGGAACATCAGGGTCTCAGCTTTGCATCTGAAGTTGCCTCCCTTTGGAGGTTTTCCAAACATGTCCCTCTTGGAACAGACCCCAGGTCAGACCCCTAGCTTGTAAACAGAAGCAAAGACTGTGTTATGTGTGGAGTGGAGGTGGTTGGTTGGCTGGGGGAGTTATGGAGGTTTATTACTAGTGGTGGTTTGGCTTTGTGGGGCGATAATAGAATAATATTTAAATGGTGACCAGTGAATCAGTGATGTACTTTTGCTTGAGATGTCCATCCATGGTACAGTTCAAAATGAAGAGTCAGAACTGTTCTGTTCATACAATTACAAAATATAGCCTGTTTAGCTTTGGAGAAGTAAGAAGAGTAATCAGTAGTTTTCTGGAATCACAGTCAGCGTATATCAAGCCATGAAATTTATTTTTAATAAACTAAAATGTGCCATGTCTACTTGGAGATGTACAGGTCCTTCTCAAAAAATTAGCATATTGTGATAAAGGTCATTATTTTCCATAATGTAATGATAAAAATGAAACTTTCATATATTTCAGATTCATTGCACACCAACTGAAATATTTCAGGTCTTCAATTGTTTTAATACTGATGATTATGGCATACAGCTCATGAAAACCCAAAATGCCTGTCCCAAAAAATTAGCATATTTCATCCCACCAATGAAAGACAAGTGTTTTTAATGCAAAAAACACCAACCTTCAAATAATCATGTTCAGTTATGCACTCAATACTTGGTCAGGAATCCTTTTGCATGAATGACTGCTTCAATGCGGCGTGGCATGGAGGCAATCAGCCTGTGGCACTGCTGAGGTGTTATGGAGGCCCAGGATGCTTCGATAGCGGCCTTAAGCTCATCCAGAGTGTTGGGTCTTGCGTCTCTCAACTTTCTCTTCACAATATCCCACAGGTTCTCTATGGGGTTCAGGTCAGGAGAGTTGGCAGGCCAATTGAGCACAGTAATACCATGGTCAGTAAACCATTTACCAGTGGTTTTGGCACTGTGAGCAGGTGCCAGGTCGTGCTGAAAAATGAAATCTTCATCTCCATAAAGCTTTTCAGCAGTTGGAAGCATGAAGTGCTCCAAAATCTCCTGATAGCTGCTGCATTGACCCTGCCCTTGATAAAACACAGTGGACCAACACCAGCAGCTGACATGACACCCCAGTGACTGTGGAAACTTGACACTGGACCTCAAGCAATGTGAATTCTGTGTCTCCTCTCTTCCTCCAGACTCTGGGACCTTGATTTCCAAAGGAACTGCAAAATTTTCTGTAATCATAGAACATAACTTTGGACCACTCAGCAGCAGTCCCAGGCGAGATGCTTCTGATGCAGAAGAGTGGCTTGACCTGGGGAATGCGGCACCTGTAGCCCATTTCCTGCACACGCCTGTGCACGGTGGCTCTGGATGTTTCTACTCCAGACTCAGTCCACTGCTTCCGCAGGTCCCCCAAGGTCTGGAATCGGCCCTTCTCCACAATCCTCCTCAGGTTCCGGTCACCTCTTCTCGTTGTGCAGCGTTTTCTGCCACACTTTTCAATTCCCACAGACTTCCCACTGAGGTGCCTTGATACAGCACTCTGGGAACAGCCTATTCGTTCAGCAATTTCTTTCTGTGTCTTACCCTCTTGCTTGAGGGTGTCAATGATGGCGTTCTGGACAGCAGTCAGGTCGGCAGTCTTACCCATGATTGCGGTTTTGAGTAGAATCAGAATCAGTTTATTATCGCCATGTCAATGAACAAGGTTCACAAACTAGGAATTTGCTTCAACATAAGGTGCGAAGAGTAATAAAGTAAAATAAAGTAAAAATAAAGTAAAAATGAAGTAAAAATGAGAACATTACATAAGACATAAGACCTGTGTACACCCACAAATAAAGTAAAATTAAAAACATAACATAACCATATATACAACCATACAATAGAAAACAATAAAAAAGCTTAGAAAACAGTACAGATGGAGTATTCAATTATAATACAGATGTAATGTGACCAAAGCAGAAATTATGAGATAGCATTATGAGTGTTCAGGAGTCCAACAGCAGAGGGGAAGAAACTGTTCTTATGGCGGGAGGTTCTGGTCCGAATGGACCGAAGCCTCCTGCCTGAGGGGAGTGGTTCAAACAGTCCGTGTGCAGGGTGAGCAGGGTCAGCTGTGATCCGACCTGCTCGCCTCACAGTCCTGGAGACGTACAGGTCGTGGAGGGATGGAAGGCTGCAGCCGATCACCTTCTCAGCTGAGCGCACAACGCGCTGCAGTCTGAGTCTGTCCCTGGCAGTGGCCCCGGCGTACCACACCGTGATGGAGGAGCTGAGGATGGACTCGATGATGGCCGTGTAGAACTGCACCATCAGCTTGGCCTTCTTCAGCTGTTGCAGGAAGTACAGTCTCTGCTGGGCCTTCTTGATGAGGGAGCTGATGGTCGGCTCCCACTTGAGGTCCTGGGTGATGGTGGTGCCGAGGAACCGATAAGAATTTGCAGTGGTGATGGGGGTATCATTACAGGTGAGGGGGGGCAGAGGGGCTGTGGCTTTCCTGAGTAATGAACAAGGCTGGGAGTTTTTAAAAGCCTCTGGAATCTTTTGCAGGTGTTTAGAGTTATGTCGTTGATTCAGATGGTTAGGTTAATAGCTTGTTTAGAGAACCTTTTCATGATATGCTAATTTTTTGGGACAGTCATTTTGGGTTTTCATGAGCTGTATGCCATAATCATCAGTATTAAAACAATTAAAGACCTGAAATATTTCCGTTGGTGTGCAATGAATCTGAAATATATGAAAGTTTCATTTTTATCATTACATTATGGAAAATAATGACCTTTATCGCAATATGCTAATTTTTTGAGAAGGACCTGTAGGTTCAAGCAGGTTTTTTTTTTTTGTGGACGCTGTACCAAAGGTTAAAAAGCTTCTTGTAGGTGTTTCCACTGTCATTTCCCTCTGTAAGTGCTTTCTGTTCTCTTTCTCTCAGGTCAAAGACTCGGGACACCAAGGTTCTGATTGACGACACCGACGATGATTCCTGACATCAGGCCACGCCCCTTGCCTGGGTCCAGAATTTATTCAAAGGTGGAAACTCTGTTTCCTGAACCAGAAATCACCCAGCAAGCGGGCGTTGAACTTTTGACCAAAAATGAGTTTTGATCTTGTAATCATTTTTTTCTTCTTTAATGCACAAGCTTTGGCTTGGGTTCACAATTATTTCCAGGAAAGATTTTTACCAGCACTATGGTTTTCCTACCATCAGTAAAAACTCTACCTTACCCAAGCAGCAGTGGTCTGACACTAATCAGTGGACGTTTTAAAACCATTTGGTCATTGCTTTGGGTCTTCTCAGAACTTCAGCAGAAACATCTAATCTCTCTCACACGAAGGTCCTGATAAAACTTGGACAGTGAACATAAGGGTCACTTTTTCATTTTTTCATTTGGACCAATAAATCAACTAGAATTATTTTTTTCACAAGATGATTTAAAGGTTCCCCCTTATTTTCCTCTGCTTCCACCATCCCAGGGACAGTATACAGTGATAATGATCCCCCCCCCCCCCCCCCAAAAAAAAATCCACTCATCACAGAGCTGCCTTCCTGTACCTTACATGCTTTAGCAACACACAGATACGGACTTTGTTGAAAAAAGGTTGAGCATGCCTGCCATGTGTTCACACACGCACACACCACATGGACTTGGACCCGTGTCGTTGGTCATGGACACAGATGAATCACTCTTTTTGTGGTTGTAAATAAATGAAAGTAGTTCAGAAAAGATGTGAAGTTGAATCTGTTTGGAACAGCAGCTGGAATGACTTCACCTCAAAGCTCAGGTGGAAGTTTGCTTTTGTTTTAAAGGACTGATGAAGCTCCCCCTACCCCCTCCACTGCACCCCAGCCTTAAACTTGTCTTGTTTTCTCTTTGTGACTGGAGACACGTCCAATGAATACCTGTCAACTCATTCAGGTGACTTTCAATTCCTCCTGGGCATTTACGTACGTTGGATAAAACAAGACAGGAAAGGTGATGAAGATGATGATGAAGAGAGCCGAGCTCACATGTTTGTCCCCGACTTGTCCAAATCTCTAGTTTTAGGAAGATGCTTGAAAACGAAGCAGGATCCAAGCATTCTGCTCCACCTTCAACACAGATCCAACTTTTAGCTGCAAAGCTCTTTAAATCCAAAGTGTTTGTTCCGATCGAGTCGTTCTGATCTCATCAGCTGTTGTACAGACGTTCAGCATTTCATCTCTTATTCAGACATTTGTTAAAGGTTTTATTTAAATAGCAGCTTTTTGTCTGCTGCAGAATCCTGGTTTTTGTTTTTTGTATTTAAAAACAATGATGGAGAAAATGTTTTACCTTGTGAAGCTTTTTTAAATTATTTTTATTTGAAACACTGCCTGAAACAATCATCCTTCATCGTTTTATCCTAAAGTAGCTTCAAAACCTTTAGTTCCTGTTGATCTGGTTCTGCCCCAACCCCCCAACCCAGGTTTACATGCACTTTGGAGCTCATCTTCATTTTACTGCTTTTCCTTTTTGTCTCTGACTGTTGAAAACAAATGTCAAGCTCCAGACGAGCTGGAGTTTGTAGAATTCTGATTTGGTTCTTGTTTAAATATATAAGATCAAAAGAAATGAAAGTCCTAAATGCATCAAATGTAATTATTTTTAAAGTGGTTTTGTCTGTTTTGTTTTTTACTTGATCACTTTAGATTTTGAGCTTCTTTAGGTTAGAGTTGGTCGACTGGAGAAATAAACTTTTAAATCTGAACGGATGTTTCCTTCCTGCTGGATCAACTCACCTGTCGGACTGGTTTAGGATGAAGTGAGAGTGGAAACGTAAAGTTTGGACCTGCATGATGTTTTCATGAGATGTCTGTAGAACGTTCTAATGTCCAACAGAACCAGGTTGATGTTGGAAAGATAAAACGCATCTGGTGTCAGAACACAGCTGTAAACTGAACAAATCCTGACTCCTGCTTTGGATTCACTCAGACTGTGTCTTTAGTTCTAAACTTCCGGTTGTCCATCACAGTTCAGTCAGGTCCTCTGGACGGTTTGTTTTTGAAACATTTCATCTCTCATCCAAAAGAGTTCTTCAGTCCGAGGAGCCACAACAAACTCAGTCTTATAAGTAGCACCTTACATAGTGGGTCAACCAGGTTGATGTTCTGGTTTTGAACCATATAAACCTTCGTCCATGTGTGCGGATGTTTTCATAGAAAACAACTCATAAAGTTTCTGTTAAAGAACTCAAGATTCTTTGTACTTTTTTAAAACAGAAGAAGAGGGGGATGATGTTTCTGACTGTGTCTGTGTGTGTTTGGCTATAGGGAGAACAAAATATTAATAAACCTCTAAACATGTAAAAAATAAAAAATAAAGTTTAAATTCAAGATGGCTGCCACAGACAACATTGTCTTTAACACATTGACAGATATTGACCTTCATTTGGTGTGTTACTACCATGGTGCAATATTTTAGATAAAATGTTTTGGAGCCAACGCCATCAGTCTGTTAGCAAAATACCTCATGATTCACAGGACAGATTTTAGCGTAACTCAAAAAGTAATCCCTGGATGGAAATATACAACCTGTTCACTTTTCAAGTAACCTGATTCAAGATGGCTGCCACCTTAACCAACACAAAATGGCTATAAATCAGTAAGATTTGCAGTTTTTGATGTGGTAGTAGCTGAGTGTCATCTCAAGTTGGACTCTTTGATATGTCGCATTTTTGCAGAACTTTATTTATAATGGTTCACCCAAATAATAATAACCATGTTTGTCCCATTGAGATCAAAAGATCTCTTTTACAAGAGAGACCTGGCGAAGACTGGCAGTATACGGGGGGGGGACGGTAAAAAAACACAGTTACAATAACCATAGACTTAAATAAACAAATGACTCAATTAAAACAATTATACTTCTGCAACTTGAGTATAAAGGGATCTATCATGGTATTAAATACATTCAGAGATACTAGAGTTCCAAGTTTAAGCTTTGATTGTAAACTGTTCCATGAGGTTGGAGCAGAAAAGTTCAAGGCTTTCTTGCCCCTTTCTGTTCTGACACAAGGAACACTAAAATTAAAAAAGTCTTGAGACCGGAGGCTGTAGGTCGTGTTGTTTAACATTAACAAAGATAAAAGATAAGGTGCTGTCAACTTAAGAATAGCCTTGTAAAACAAAACATACCAATGGCCAAGCCGATGTACATGCAGAGACGGCCATTTTACCTTAGCATACAAGAGACAGTGATGAGTTTGGGCTCCATAATCTGTAATAAATTGCAAAGTGCCGTGATACACGCTATCATGTGAAGACATGGAGCAGAGGCGTTCATGAATAATGCATCACCATAGTCAATAATCAGAAGAAAAGTTTACTCCACCAATTTAAGTTTTACCCTAAAAGAAAAGCAAGATTTAGTTTGAAAATAAAATCCAAGTAAAAGCTTCAGTTTATTTACAGTAAACTGAATATGTGCTTTAAAAGACAATTTGTTGTCAATTTAAAATCCCAGATATTTGAACGTAGATACAAGTTACACGTAGCTACAAAATAGCTCCGATTCCATCGTTTCTCATCATCGGGTGATGTGCATTCCTGTAAGACATACAGGTGCTGGTCATAAAATCAGAATATCATTAAAAAGTTGATTTATTTCAGTAATTTCATTCAAAAAGTGAAACTTGTTTATTATATTAATTCATTACACACAGTTGCTGTCGCATTCCTTGTGCCAAGCCGCTCTTGAACAAGAGACAGTGTCAGAAGCATCTCATCTGGAACTGCTGCTGAGTGGTCCAAAGTTATGTTCTCTGATGAAAGTAAATTTTGCATTTCCTTTGGAAATCAAGGTCCCAGAGTCTGGAGGAAGAGAGGAGAGGCACAGAATCCCCATTGCTTGAGGTCCAGTGTCAAGTTTCCACAGCCAGTAATGGTTTGGGGTGCCATGTCATTTACTGGTGTTGGTCCACTGTGTTTTCTGAGTTCCATGGTCAATGCAGTCATCTACCAGGAAGTTTTGGAGCACTTCATGCTTCCTGCTGCTGACCAACTTTATGGAGATGCAGATTTCCTTTTTTCAAACGGGACTTGGCACCTGCACACGGTGTCCAAGTTACCAGTACCTGGTTTAAGTACCATGGTATCTCTGTTCTTAATTGGCCAGGAAACTCGCCTGACCTTAACCCCATAGAGAATATATGGAGTATTGTAAAGAAGAAGATGTGATACACCAGAGCCAACAATTCAGAAGAGCTGAAGGCCACTATCAGAGCAACCTGGGCTCTCATAACACCTGAGCAGTGACACACACTGATCGACTCCATGCCACGCTGCATTGCTGCAGTAATCTAATCCAACTAAGTACTGAGTGCTGTACATGTTAATATTTTTCATAATCATACTTTAAAGTTGGCCAACATTTCTAAAAATCCTTTTTTTAACTGGTCTTCAGTAATATTCTAATTTTCTGAGATAGTGAATTTGAAGTTTTCATTAGTTGTCAGTTATAATCATCAACATTAAAAGAAATAAACATTTGAATATATCAGTCTGTGTGTAATGAATCAATATAATACACAATTTTCACTTTTTTAATGGAATTACTGAAATAAATCAACTTTTTCATGATATTCTAAATTTATGACCAGCACCTGTAATGGGTATTTAATTTAGCTTCTGCAGGTTTCATGTTGTCATGGAAACAAGATGACTTGACTGAGTATCTTGTTTACACAGAAAGGCATTATATAATGTAAGTACAGTCCATTACTGTAAATCCTTTGACATTTTGCAGAGCATCAGAAAGGTGAGTCAGAACTCAAGATTTTCTGCTGAAACTTTCTAACTTAGTCACTCATCTCTACATATTATCCATCCATCCATCCATCCATTCTCTTCCTCTTATCTGGGGTCGGGTCGCGGGGGTAGCAGCCTAAGTAGGGAGGCCCAGACTTCCCTCTCCCCATTCACTTGGGTCAGCTCCTCCAGGGGGATCCCAAGGCGTTCCCAGGCCAGCTG